TCTTTTTATTTCCTTTCCAGGAACATAATTCTGGAGGTGAGGCTCTGAAAGAAAACAAGACAAACAGATCACAACCCTGGGGTTCAGCAGAGCAGACTTTGGCCCGTTTGGGGCTCCTGTGGAATATCATCCTGGAGAGTAGAGGGGTCACAGGTGATACTGATTTTTTCAAGGATGACCTCCTCTGAACTTGAGAATGGCCTGCTGACATGGGCAGGAAATAAACCAAAAGTAGCAGGAGGCCTGCACCAATAAACAAAGAGCTGCTGACAGAGCTTGGGCATGAAAAAGATGCATGCAAGAGGTGGAAGCTGTGTTGGGTCACCCAGGAGATTACAGAGACAATGTCCAAGCATGAGGGGGTGGTTAGGAAAGCCAAAAATCCCACAAGGGACATGAAGATGTACACGAAGGGCATCTTACACGTGTATTGGTGAGGAAGATGAAAGAAAATGTGGGCCCACTGGGTGAGTGGGGCAGGGACTTGGTATGGCAAAGGCTAAGATACTCAATGACTTCTTCATCCTTGGTTTTTGCTGGCAAGATACATCCTCAGAAATTCTAGCTCCTTGAGACCGGCCTGGAGCAAGGAAGACTAATGCTTGGTAGAGGAGGATCAAAATTCTATTTAAACTTGAGAAGAAACATTGTTCTCACATGATCATTATCAAACACTGGAACATGCTACTCAAAGGGGTTGTGGAGTCTCTCCTTAGTAACAGGCAAAACCTGACTAGACATGGCACTGAGCAATGTGCTCTGGTTGACTTTTCCCTGAGCAAGAGGTGTGTGGACTAGATGATTGCCAGAGGTCCCTTCCAACATCAACTGTTCCATAATTCTGTGAAATCAGTGCTGCTGAAGCAGCTTCCGGGTGAAGACTGAAGGTTTGACTCTGTATCTTCAGACAGAATATTGCAAAGATCTAAATTGGTGCATACTGTTACCAAGAAAGTAGCTACTGTTGGCATGTACTCTTCATTGGATTTGGGATTTCTTACTACATCAGTAGGCCTGCATGTGCTGTAAGCAAATACAGAACTGACTTGTGGTAAAAATGGAAGTGCTAAAATGCACCACTGGGAAGGTGTTGAGAGGCATCTCCCATGCTATCCGCTTTCTAAATTTAAAATAGACACATTATGAAATCTAAATACAGATTCCCAAACTCAGCACTCTTGTCTCCATAGTTAATATTCTTTGTCTGCTGTTATTCACACCATAATATCCTGCACAGAAAGCATATGCCAGGTCTTACCCAGGTAAGTAGCTGTTGTGAAGACTTGTCATGTGAGCACCATCCCATATACTAACTAGGGATTCCACCTGTAAATTCTGTGTGGCAAGGCATTTGATCTGTACGTGCCCAATCCTGCTTCCTTGCTGTGAGTTTAAATTAAAAATAAAAAGGATGAATAAACTAACAATAGATTTGGGTAAAATAAGCTACCTTCATTATAATCAGTGCCCTTGTGGCACTGGACTGGGATTATCATGGGTGAAGATACTTAGATCCATTGTTTTCTTACTCTCTTTGGAGACTGAGTCCATAAACTTTTATGAGCTATACTTTAGATAATGTTAGGAAATCGTTTGTCTGGAACTAAAATTATCTCATTGTTTGAAACAGGCAGGGACAGGTTTTGGTCTTTTTTGCGTTAGTCTATTTGCTATGAAACAGATCTTATCTTTCAAGTATTGTGGAGCTGCACGTTAAATTTCTGGGTTTATACATGGAAATACAATAGATCTGGCTTCTTGATGTCTGTGGCTGCATGTGAGTACTGTAATTAATGATCTAGTTTATATGAAGAGAGATCTATGGAAAAAAGCTGAAAGAATGTTTGCATTCTGTTGGCCTGGGTTTTTTTAAGAGTTCCTCAGATTTGTCTGGGTGAATATCTTTGCAACTGCTAGAAATGTCTTTCCTTTGACATATTCCCATCACAACTGGGATTAACTGCATTCTGGAGGCTGAGTCTAAATACATTTACACAGTAAATCAGTGGCAAAGCAAGACTAGGATCCAAGTTTTCTGTATTATCCACCTACCTTGACTTCTAAGAAGCAAATGGTACCTTATTTCTAGCATTTTTTGATCTATATAGATTTATAGCCCAAGTCTGTGGAAGTTTCCTCCTTTTTGATAGCCTAAAGAAAACTATGCTTTTTAAAAGAGGACGTACACCATCAGCAAACTAAAGTGTGGAAATGTATGGATACCACTAATGGAAGATAAGAGCACTTTCTTCACTGAGGTTTTTTCCACTAGGGTAATGTACTTGGCATCTTCTGGTCAGTTATAATTAGGGAAGATGATTTTTGTAAGTATTGTTATTTTTGCAGTATTCAGTAAAAATTTATTCTTGCTGACGATAGCTGAATCTTAGGGAATTACTGTTCTCATGGAAAATGGTGCTCTCAAAGAACAGTACTGTCACAGATCCATGATTTTAGGCAGTCATTCTCAGTAGGAGTTCACACAGTGTTCAAACAAGTTCAGTGTTGTTTGCACTGACAATGTGCCAAGTGAGCACTCCACCCAAAAGCAGAGCTGAGGTCTTGGAGAGAGCATTGCTGAACAAAGGCACACTCAGGAAGGGGCTGGAAACTGTGATGTTCAGAACTATTGTTCAGTGCCACCATCTCCATCCCAAATCCCCCAAATTTTCACATTCAGGGCTTTGATTCAGGCTGACTTCTCATTGATGTTGATTGTTTTCAGACTTTTTTTTTTTCCTTCTGTCAAGATCTGTCAAAAGAATTCAGCTCTCTCAGAAGTGCCTTTCTTCTGCTCTCTATTTCTTTTATTGAGGTCTTGGCACAAAGGAAGAAACTATTTCTAGCTATTAGAGTAGCTGTGTAAACTGGGAAATCCTCCAACTTCTAGAAGGATATTTAAAGGCTTGAAGATTATTCAAATTTCCAAATAATTTTTACTCCTTTGCTTGTTTGGCTGTCAGTATTTGATAAACAGGGTGGACTATTGTCAATATTTAACAGCTGAACACAAATATTATTCATACATTGTAAAAATAGCATATGAAATGCGTATCAAGTGCTTTAGCCTAGGTTCAGTAGTAACAGAAGCAAATGATAAAATCTCCCTTGCTTCCATACAAAGGCATAGAGAGGGAAAAAAATGTTACCAGTGGTAACAGTCTTCCCTGCTGGGGAACAACCCATGAGACTCCCCACTCCTCCCACCTAAAGTCATGTTCAAAGGCGGGGTTTTGTGGTAGAAATTTGCTGTGAAGTGTTTCTTGAGTAAGAAACAGCAAGCTACGACTATTAGTTCAAACCAGATTACCAGAAGTCTTCAGTAACAGAGCTCTGTCTCCAGTAGCACATCACTAGGACCCCTTGAATTGCTCTGCGGTCCTACATTGCCATACAAAACCAAATTACTTCTGTACCTTTCCTTATATTTGGAAAAATCCTTCCCAAAAGCCACTATTTGGCATTATAATGATTATTATGGTTCTATGATTAGCTTGCTGGATGGAGCAGCCTGCCCTCTCCATAGTCATGTGCAAAATGACTACAGTTTATCCTCATTTAGAAAATCAAGATACAGTGTAGTTGGTGTGAGATGGGTTTTAATGAGTGTCAGAAGTAGGCTTAGGTGTCACTTCCCAATCCTGTGTTCCAAAGTGGTTTCCCACGATTTTAAATATTTAGAAGGATGTAATGTGTGGTTCAGTACTATCTGAAGGAAAGAACCTGAGTGTCATGTGGCTCAGCCACAGTCAGGCTCAGCAAGAACTAAGGTTAGCTCACAGGGCAGTATGGGTGCTGCTCAGCCCAGCCTCCCTCAGCAACATTACTTTTGATGGTAGCTAGATTAAGCCACCACCCACACAAAACAAAGGGTATGGACCAGAGCCAGTTTATGTAGGAGACTTTCAAACCTAGCATTGTTTCAGATTTGGCTTTGGTCCAGTGTAAAATGCATTTGGTGTGTTCCTAGAGCTCCCCTGTAGAAGAGGAGCCTGAGGTAGCAGTAAACAGTTATTAGCGTTGTAGTTTGCTGGTTACTCTGTAAATGAGCATGAGGAACTTCAGGAAGGAACAGTGAAACATTTCTTCTCCATTTTGTCCAAAGCAGTCAGACTGCTCTACCATTAGTTAAAATTAGTTCTGTCCCAAATCGTTTGCTAGGATTACTGCACTGTTAATGTGTTTCAACTGTCAGCCACAGAAGTCAGATCTTCAAAGCCCATTCCATCCTTTTCCCCACCACACAGAGTAGTGCTCCAGTAAGAACTAGAAAGCTGAGCAATATTGACTTACAGACTGAAGGACTTTAAGCACATCATGTTGCTGTGTTGTTCCGTTCCTGTCTTGTCTTAGCTTTCTCCTTAGCCACAATAGAGCAATGATACTCTTTGCTCATGAAATCCTTCAAGATTTAATGATAGATATTACAGATTTCTAAGACCTTTCAGACTTGGGCAAATATCACATCAGTAACAAATAATTCATATAAATAGACAAATACACACTACATACTTGATGGTACAAAGAAACAAATTAAAAAAAAAAAAAAAAGAAAGAAAGAAAAAAAGATGTAGAGATGGAAAGATTCCCTCTCAGTTGAATACAGGCTACATATGTACCTGAAGTGATTACACTGAAGTTGCCCATCAGCTTCTGTGAATCAAGTTGTCCAACCTCCTCTAATTCCAAACTCCAAATCTAGCATTACTAGACAGGAGGAGAATGTAAGGATGGAGTAGCATTTGGACTTTTCCGGACAGGGACTGAAACACAGACAGCACATTACCCTGAACAATTAACTCCTGTATTGTACTAATTCTGTTGAAATACTATATTTCAGTCTAACATTATCTCTAGCTAGTAACTCACATACCTTGCCATATCTGTCTGCTTATTTTCATGTGGTCTGATTCTGTTAAAATAAATCTGCTAATTCTGTTTGAATAAGTAGCAGCTACAGCTGAGATTATGAGGTTACTCAAAGGAAAAAGGCCTGATACTAATTTTAATAAGTTTATTTCTATTTGGCTTTGTTACTTGAGGAAACAGAATACTAATGATTTTCTTCAGGAAATATTTGCACCTTTGCGACTTTTATGTTATTAAAGGTTACAACTCCAGTGTAACCAATGAGTCGTGGGGTGCTGGGGAAGACTTTGTGCATGTCCATGCACTTCTTGTCAATGTAGGGGGAGTTTGCCTTCACAGCAATGTCATGTTCCAGGTTTGATTTGTTGCCCATCAGCATGTCCAGAGTATCACGAGCTTCTTGCAGATGTTGCTTTAAGGTCTGTATGGTGTTATCTATAGTATAAATTTCAGTCATAAGCCTGATAAAAGAGAAAGGGACAGGTTGCTTGCATAACTTCAGCGCATTGCTTTTTTGACAGTGGACAGGTCACGCTTTTAGGATGGATTTAAACAGCTGCCTTGGACTGAATCAATATGAAACTTATTTGCCCAACTAGCTTGCACAGCACCTGTAAATGATGATTTCTTGCTTGCCTTGCCCTTCAATAGCAGAATAAGCTTCTCTGGTTTGATATTTCTTTCTAATTGCTATCTGTCTTCTTCACTTGCAGCCTCTCATTTGTATAGCCTTTTTAGGGCTAGCACAGCTGTGTTGAGCAATTAGATGTGGTCCTGTAGAAATATATTTGGGATGGATGTTACTGCAGAGTGCTGATGTAGTTCATGCTAGCTTGAACCTGTGCAGCAGGATGTGCTGAGAAGTCTAGATTTGGCACTGAAGTATGTTAACTGGAACAAGAATCGCTTGCCAGAATAACCATTGAATGTAGGGCTCTGAAATCAAGATTTTCTGTGAGATGATAGTAATCACATTTCTTCCAGTGGCTTATCACTGGAGATATGGCAAATTGTCTTGTATAGTCCCTGAGCTGGTAAACTCTTTAATACTGTCAGCTTTGTGTTTTATTTCATGTTAAGTTAATTGCTCAGTGCACTATAGAAATAAGAAAGATTGAATTTTCCAGAATCCACTTTAACCTGTTTTGGGACAGTCCGAGTTGTTTCAGCACAGAAAAACTTTATTAATTTGTTTTGTGTCTAATCCCTTCAACTACAAAGTTGGCAATGCACACAGAGAACAAATGCCAACATCAGCACTTCCTTTTAAATAAACAGCAAACTTAGATAACATTTACATGTTACAAAGAAGTAGTTCATTTTATATTGTCTTTCCCTATTACAGTTGAGCTATTGGACTGAATTCCTCCTTGCTTTAAACCACATAAGAGTAATACGTATAACATCATTTAAAAGCAAAAGATCCTTAAAAAGTGAATTAGGAAATGTTTTTTCTTTCTCAGATAGCATTTTGTCTCTGGGAAAATACATTTTGAGATGTAAGCTCACCCAATAGCTGTGGTAGAAAAAAGTGCCCAAATTTCAAATACCCTGTCAGAATTTGTGTTTGTAATTGCAACTATGATGAATATAATATCCACTGATTTGGATCAGCTAAAGCATCTAGCGTAACCTGGTCTGGATCAGGGAGCTGGGTAGAGCAAAATTCATATGCATTGGAGGAAGGAGAACAGGTTATGCTAATTCTCTGTCAGTATAACTGCATCTAGCCAGCAGTGTATTTGTATAAATATTTTGGTTAAAATATCAGAAGTCGTGTTAGATTGACAGAAAACTTGTGTATATGTTAAGACTAAAATACTCCTGAGTAGCTGGAGCTCTTATTCCTACTAGCTTTTAGGTTATATTAGATTGATTCTGAACCCCTATGTACTACTTGGTTTTAAGTATGTCATGTTAATGTCCTATCACTCTAATTAAAGAAAATATTCAAATATGTTCCAGTGATTTGAAATAGAGTTTCCAGACTTTTCTAGACATGACCCTTTGGAACATCAACAGCATCTCTCACAACTGTGGGATGAGGAAGGGACAATGTGAATTTTGTGCACTGCATTTTTGATCCTAAATCAAACAAGTTTTATATCTTGGATACATGTGATCCTGCTGACCAGACCGGTATCAATCATAAAGCTACAGGCATTTCTCTGGAAGAGATCTTCAGGGAGGAAGGAGAGAACAAGCCTCAGAGTGAGTATAAAGCTGGAGTTATGTATTAGTATTTAAGGCCATCTTGGGGTTTGTGTGGGTTTGTTTTTTAATAAAATGCTGATAATAGTTTATTTGCTTACTTAATTGGTGGTGTACTGGTGACTGAAGTGGGAAATGATCTGCTCCTGTAGTAAATGTAACTGCTAAGTGAATGCTACTGTGTAATCACTGTTTTTTTACAGTTTGTAACAGCTGAACTCCTGCATCTAGAACAGACATGATTTATGTGTAATGAAAAGCCACATGAATAAAACTCCCCAAATGGATATAAAAAAATCCATATCCAAAATGATATTTTTGACAGAATGGATGTGGAGAGCAGAGCATGAAGTTGAAGAAATCTAATATATGGATATGCCAAAGGAAAGGTCAGGATCCAATTAAAGAGATATAAGATGGAAAAACAGGTATATTGCATTGTACATTTTATGGTTTAAGGAGTTAGAAAAATGGGAAAAATACCAGTGCAATAAACCATGATTGATTGCCGCTTCCTTGTTTAAATAGAAGCTTTTTGAGCTGACAAAACATTGTTTAGGAAAAATAATATAAATCTTCAGTTTAAGCATTATGTACTTCATTAATCTCCTTGTAAGTGAAGCTCTTGTATACAGCGGAATTTTGCTGGAGGCAGAAATAAAAAGGGAATAGCTTGCTACTTTTCATAAAAGTATATAGAATTCTTTTCACTGGACTGTGGAAACTCCCTCCAGCTATGGGGGGAACAGTATTTCTTGAGAAACCCCCCTCACAGTGTACTTGGAAGACAGTATTTTAAATATGATACACTTTTTTGGAACACTGTTGTGTTCCAACTGGATTGGAGAGAGATAAGTGGGATTAAAATTCAGTCTTTAGGGAAGGAAGGCTAGTATCTCAGACATCATCTTCGATATCCAGGAAGACACAGTACACGCTATACAGTGGATCACAACACAGGGGTCACCAAGCTGATGCTAACATGTGCTGGGAAGCCCCCACAGATACATAATCAAAATGTATGTCAAATGAGCTAACCTGCACCAAGATGATACTGGAGTCACTACAGAGGTGAAAATTATTTAAGGCAGTAATTGCCTCGTGCTTATTTGCAATTAACTTTCTAAAGAGCTTGACCATTACATAGGTTTGAGAAGTTTTTTTGCATTTAAAGACATTTGTCTGGGATAACGTTTTTAAAATTTGGTATTTCCTAAAGTGAAATATTGTGTTTCGTACAGAATGGGATTAAAACCAACTCCTAAATCCCAATTTGGACATGAGACTAAATCCCAAAAGGTACTGGTCACCAACAAGCAATTGAGCTCTTTAGAGTCCTTCTCCCAGGACAGTTAAGGAAATTACACACATTGAACATTAGATTTTTTGGCCTACTATTTCAGTGTAGCTACTTGGATTTTATTTCTTCCTTCCCCCAGAATTTGTATCATGATATAATGAATGCAAGTTTAATCTCATCTGATTCAATCATACTGTTGTTAAATTTCCTGTTCTTGAGTGGCTGGTGAAGGAAGGGAGAGGGTAGTTTGGCCTTTACTTACTGAAACTGAGGTGCATCATGGCAGAGTTCTATGTTGGGTCGTTTGGTTCATCCTTCCAGGAGGGTCTGAGCCACTTCCAGTGGATACTCCTTTGCCTTTATGGATCTCTCCAATAACATGATTCTATCTTCGGTCTGGAAGATTTCCTGAAGTACCTGAGCAAAGGAGAATGGTTTTAAGCTTCATATGCATACAAAACCAGAATTCACCTACACTTTTAAACACTCCTGTTGGAACTACTTCCAGTTTAGAATGTCATTTTGCTTAATTTAGGGGAGGAGAGCACTATAAATTCACATGAATCAGATGAATTTGTATAGTATTGGTTTGATCTTGCCATTTCTTTAAAGGGACATATGGTAATCAAATCTCATAGGTGAGCCAGAAGGAGGGGGCTATACACTCATGCATCTTATGGAAACATTTAATGGCGTTGTTCCTGAAATCAGGCAAACAGGTTCCACTAAGAAATGTGCAGCCTCTTTCCTATAATAAAATGAAGAAATCTGTGGGCAAATTGGAATACAATTTTATTACAAGCAGAAGAGAAGCACTGACTTATTGTGATGGGGAAATGCCAACTGTGTTTTTTTGTGACAAAGCCATTTTCATAGGGGTGGTGTTTATCGCTCTACGGGGACTTACTTGCATTTTGCTTTATTACCTAGTTTTTCTCCTAAATAAAAAAAAAATCTGATGCTTTCTCTACGAGCACTTTGCAAAGGTAAAATTCCAATTGACTGTCGCTTTCATTTAAACCTTCATTCAATTCTTATTTCCTTTTGCCTCGTAAAAATTGAGAAGGAATTAAATACATTCCCTCTGAAATTGGTCCGTACTCCAAGCATTTCGGGCATGTTTGCTGCAAGAGCATATTAACACAAGTCATAGTTTCCTACTGAAACTAAATTCTCAAAGTTTTGAAAACTCCAATGGGAGCTGTAGAGGGAAGAGCAACTTCTTTAAAGGCTTATTTTCTGTAAATGTAGAAGATATGGGTGGCAATATCACCACAAAGGAGATGCCCATGGAAGTAGTAAAGCATAGTGTTTGGTTGCAGTGCATGTCATCATATAATCATCTTATTCCTATAAATTCTGTAGGTGCTGCTTATTTGCTGTAATCTGTATGTAAAAATGAGCAAACTTGCAAGGGAAAAGTTTTCCTCAGCCTTAAAGAATGGAGAAAATATTTATATTCAGGCAACATTTCCCAGACAATTGATTGTTGTTCCTTTCATCGATCAGGATTCATTACAGCCACTGTGGTGAACAGGTTCATCAAGCTTTTTTTTCCTTTAGACAGCTTTAAAATGGAAGACAACAAATTGAACTACTGTAGTTTCTCAGCCACTCTACTAAAATCACTTTGTGATGTACTTTGAATTTCAATAACCACAAAAAAAGGCATAATGTGATTTAAGTTAAGTTGCTATTTAGATCTTGCCTACACACCAAGCTGTACCGGGTTTGCCAATGATACATGTGGTTTGAGGATTGCATTAGTTCCTGCTGCTGAAAGGTTATTTATGGACAAAACCCAGAGTTAATGCCAGGAACCTGCACCCCAGTCCAAATACTTAAGGGCTTGTTGATGCTGTATAGTAGAGCAATGTAAACTATGTCCTGGTTAGCACTGTCCAGAGCAGTTCAACCATTACAGCAATGCAGTGTTGCAATAAACAAATTGGGCCCTAGAGCAGCAGTGTATGAACTGTACTGATTTGAAGGCAGGTCTCCACACTGTTCTGAGCCCTTTGAGTCCAAGGTTGGCTCTCACAGAGCTAGCTTGAGAGAATCTTCACCCAAAAAGCAGCTCTTATTGCTTACATTCATAAATTAATAAAAGCATACAGCTTTTATTCCCTTGCAGTCTGCAAGGGAAAAACTCTATGAAGAATTCAGACTGTGAAGGGCACACAGTATGGAAGACAGCAAAGCTAATGGTAGTAAATTCCCATAATTCTGCAGTGGTTCCTTTTTAATTAGATACGTGCTGTGAATTGGCTGTGTTTTAGATAATCCAGTGCACTTCAGTAGCTAGCTGTCTGCAGCAGAACTACTTACAAGGATGCATTGTTAGATACAGCATTTTACATATTGTCTATAATTTTACCAGTTACACCTACTGATTTCTATAGATAAAAACCAAGGGCAAGAGACTTAATGAAGTCAAATGTCTTCATTATGTATCATCCACACCTTTCTTTTTTTTCCCTGAAAACACTGAGGATTTGGGTCTTCTGCTGCTCAGAAGTCACAACTTTGCTGTTTATAACCCCCTTAAGAGGGACAGAGGTGAGGTTCAGCTCCTAGCCAGGCTCCTGGTGAGCAAGTGAACATTGTCAGGGAGAGTTTTAAAGCCTGTCAGTCCTATACTTTGTTTCTACTGTCCACCTTCATTGTGAACCAAAACAGCAACCTGTGGGGAGGTACCAGGGCTTCCAGGCAAAGAATACACAGTGCTTTTGGAGGTCACCCACTGCTCAGCAGGGTCCTCGTTTCCTGTGTTTATGTTCTGGCTCTGTCCCTGCAGCTGTGTTTCCCATGCTACGCCTTGCTGCATGTGAGTGAGCCAAAGTCACTGTTCTGTTACGTGACGTGGGCTGTGTGAGGATGTCAGCCTTTTACCTTAATTCTACTTACAGTTTGGAGCAAGTTTTAAGTAGGTTTATTTCTTTTTAATAAAAAGTGTAATTCAAAGTAAAAACAATGAGACAAAGCAGCAGGTATCAGCCCAGTAAGAACTGGGCAAAGTCATGTCTCAATTTCAGAAAAGATTGAGTGTGTTGTTTTCCACTTATGATGGAGCAGAGGACTTCCATTCTCAGTTCAGATTCTGGGTAGGACCTTTGTGGTACAGACTTTGAGCTTTATTGGTGACAAGACTTCCTCTCTTGGGCAGCAGTTGGAAATGGTGATTCATCTTTATGGAGCAAATCAATGAAAAAGCACAACTTGAGCAGCCCAGAGCACTCATTCCTGAGCCATGACTGAAACCAGCTCCCCAGAGTGATGCTGCTCATGTTATAGTAAGTGTGCAGTGTAGTCACTGTGCGGATGCTTCTGTCCTGTTTTGATTCATATTATCACAATTTAACCTACTCAGTGAAATTAGGTTACAAGCTCTCTTACACTTAGTGCTAATTGCTGAAATCAGGTTAGATAAAAGGATGAAATTAATATTTTCTGCAAGAAACTTTTTTCCTGCCCTCTCTTTATTTGAAAGCAGTGTAGGTACCCTGTGTTTATTTCACATGTGGAAGGAAAGCAGGAAGCCATAGAAGGGCATGGGCACGGGCACAGAACTGTACTGCAGCAGATTATGGAAGCATTACACAAATTTCTAAGAGGATCCAGGGAAGAAATTTAGTAGTCTTTAGTATTTTAGATAACAGTGCTGCTACTCTGCCAGATAAAATCCTTATTACATAAGGATCGCCTATAGCAAACCAGTCCAGTACTATGTGACAATGCTTCTGTAATGGTGAAGTGCCCTTTACTCTTTCATTCTGCTTGCATAAAAAAATTATGTATTGGATGGTTTTTCCTTCTGCATCTTCAAATGACTGATTCTAATACAGACCACACTAAGCAGATTGTCCATGTATAAACTGTCTCTTGGAAAGACTGTTTCCATTAAGCTCAGCTAGCAGAGAGAACCGGAAGAGTGATTTTCTGAACCCCCACTCTTCTCAAATCTTCCTCTGATGCATTCATATGTGGCTACAGTGCAAGTACAGTGCAAGACCACAAACCCATGTATTTCAATTCAGTACTAACTTTTCAAGTGCATGAATGCTGGTAATCAAACCTGAGGTTTGTTTCCATTCCTTTACAGGACATACTGTGCTGTGTTGTCAGAGAGCACCTGGCTAGGCCTCCCTGCTCACACAGCAAGCACAGAGGTGCTCCCCTAGTGACACATAAGCAGGAGACTCTGTTGTCCTCTTCAGAACACTGCAGTGTATGCACTTCCCCCATAAATATAACTGACACAGGACAAGAGTAGCCTTGTATCTAGAAATGACTCGAAGTATTTAGATCTTGCACAGCCTGCAAAATTCACACAATGTTAATGTTTGAAAAGGGCAAGCTCTGAAGTCTAGATAGAAAATGTTACTCTTTATTGAGAATCCAGTAGTTCATTAGTTATGAAAAGAGGGCTTTCACTCAAAAGTCACTGAAAACTCAGTTTTCTGTCCAATCCTTATACCGCATTGTGTCATCACAGTGTGCAGTAACTACACTCCCATGCCACACTTCACTGGTGCTCTGGTGTCCTGCTCATAAAAGTCTGAGTAGTCTGTAGGCATATTATGCACAACCAAGGGAATTGATTCATGCTACTGAACAAACTGTTTATTCATTTGTGTTGTGGTTTAACCAATGCCAGACAGCTTGTTCACCCACTCCCCCCCTCTTCTTGCCCTCCCCCTACTCCTGGAGGGACGGAGAGGAGAATCAAAAAGAATGCAACTCCCACGGGTTGAGATAAGAACAGTTTAGTAACTAAGGTATAACACAAATCACTACTGCTACCACCAATAATAGTAATGACAAAGGAAATAACAAGGGAAGAGAATACAACACCTCATCACCAGCTGACTGATAACTCACCCCCCACCCCGACCAAGCACTGACCGATACCTCCTCCAACCCTGCAGTCCACCTAGCCCTTCCAGGTCCCTCTCAGTTACATCCTGGGCATGACGTGCTGTGGTATGGAGTACTTCTTTGGTCCGTTTGGGTCAGGTGTCCTTTCTCTGCTTCCTCCCAGTTTCCCTCCTCCCTGGCAGAGCATGAGGTTCACAAAGTCCTTGGCTAAACCAAAACACCATTGTTATCAGCTCTGTTCCCAGCCCAAAAGTCAAAACACAGCACTGCACCAGCTACCAAGAAAGAGAAAAATGACTGCCACTGCTAAACCCAGGACAATTTGCTAAGGAAAAATATTGTGTAACCCTGCGTGTGAACTCAAAATTCAAATGTCAAACTATGGATCCATCTTTAAGTCTTGCTTGGCTGCACATAAGTGGATGTGGTTTGGATTTATTGTGTGTTCTCAAATTACTTTTCTTTTTTTAAAGAAAAAGGTGTCATCATTTAAGGCATACAAAGACAAATGGCTTCAGGGGAACGACTTCCACTGCTGCAGCAGCTTTGTACAAACAGTTTTCAATTACTCACTCTGGCCACACATTGGATCAAATGGCTTAGATAACCTGCTCTACATGAACGGATTGGTGGGGAGGATCACCAGACAGCATTGCACCAGTCTGCGTCATTTCTGGATGACTTCCAAAGGCAGGAAGCAAAAAACAAGAAAAGCTGAGCAGCATGTTCCTAGGAAAGTGAGGTGAGGCACTGGCTCCAGCAGCTGCCTATCCAGAAACTTTCCCTTCCAGGACATGAGTAAAATTTTGTGCTGTAGCACAAATTCTTGAGAGCCTGTAGAAAACTGCGCTCTTGCTGTTCTCTCACTTCACCTAGGCCGTGATAGTTACAGGCTTGTCACCGACAGACTGAGAGAAGGAGGTGCTGAAGTTGCACAGTTTCATCATGTAGGCATCATCATCTTACATACAACATCAGCATTTCTAACATGGCTACACTCTGACAGCTGTCATTGTTGCTTTGCTGTTTCCAAGGCTTGCTCAGCAGCAGTCAGGTAAGGGTGGGAGGAACATTCCTGAGCCTCCTCATTTGGTATTTTTTTTTTTAATTTGATATTTCCCTCTCTTTTTTTTTTTAAATTTCATCCACATTTCCATATTTCACCCAAATTATTCTGTAAAAGTTACATTTGTTGAGTTTATCACATGTAATTAAATAAATGGTGTAATTATGACTGATTTCACAATTAATTTTAGGGGATATGACCACATTATTTCAAAGTAAAATTAGGATACCTTGCAATCCTCGGAGTACAAGTATAACCCAGATATCAAATCTGAAATTAATTTGGACCTGCCTGGCAGTTTTTACTGTTAAATTTTTAATAGAGATTACCATGTCCCTTACTCTTGTTGGGTTTAGGGGTTGTTTGTGTCTTTTGAAGCTTCACTGCAGGTCATTGGTTTATGACTTTGCAAGTTTGGGTTTATTTTTTAATCAGATGCTGGTCCAGGAATCTCTCACGAAGAAAAGCACATTTAAAGGAAAAAAACACCACAGACTTCTCAACAGAATGTGCCATCAGCAGGTGATGAGCTCAGATAGCTTAACAGTACTGAAGCAGAGTTAGAATCATTGGGAAGAGTAACTTTAGTGCCTTTGTTGTGTATACTGATAGGGGACGACTGAGGTTCATACTGAGGAGAAGTACTGATATAGTTTGGGCCCGGAAAAATACCTTCATTGCACACTTCATCATGCATATCAGAAGAGGAAAGATTGGGTTCAGATTTGGGAATATTGTAAGCTTTTGTATAAAACACTACATAACAATGGGAATAGTGCTGGCGTAAATACAGCCAACAGATCCAAAAGCTAAAGCATTCACAAAAAGTTCACAAGTTCTATTTGTGCTAAAGGATACCTCTAAAATCCCCAGCATTTTCAACTATCTTAAATGTGACATTGTCATAGAAAAGAGGAAAATATCAGAATGTCAATGCCGTACTTTTAAAACAAAGGTTTTAAATATACATCTGGACGTTTAATCTGCGTCTTTAAGAGAGATTGCTCTTTTCCTCATAGATTGAAACAGAAGATGCAGGAACTCTGGGCCTGCCTTAGCCAATAGGTTAAGTATAACAATTTACAATCAATCATATAAAAATCCTCCGAGCACTGAATTCCAGTATGCATTTTTTTTTTACTTTATTCTCTGAAAAGAATCAAATCAATTTCAGATTTACATGGGATCACTTTCTGTTGAACTTGTCTGTGGGTCCTAAAAATGTACAAGATGTTTATTTGATAGAATCATAGAACGGTTGGGGTTGGAAAGGGCCTGAAGATCATCCAGTTCCAAGCCCTCTGCCATGGGCAGGGACATCTCGCAGTAAACCATGTCACCAAAGACTCCATCCAGCCTGGCCTTGAGCACTGCCAGGGATGGAGCATTCACTACTCCCTTGGGCAACCCGTTCCATCTAAAGCACCTTTATGAAAAGTGAAACCATGGGATCGTTTAATTTGGCCAGGATTTTCTAAAGTATTATCAAAATAATAGAGGAGCCCATAACTATACACAGGAAGATGCTTAACTCGCTGCATACTTGAACTGTTTCTTTTGAGAATCATGTCACGTAAGCATGACTTAAGATTTTACTAGAATATTTGTGTACTCTCAAAGAAATACATTCCAAAGCCTCCCATAACAAAAACATATATGATTATATACAAAAATAATGTAACTCCATTCCATAACTCCTCTCATATCTTAGGATGTGCTTAGATTCTTGTTTCCGTTGTCAATAATAAATTTGCTTTGAATTTAGCTTTATAATTAAATAAAAAATATCCATTTGAATTTCACTCCAGTGTGCAACATAGCAACAGTGGCACAATGAAGTTATAATTTTGTAGTCCCTAATTTTCATAAAGGATTTAAAATTAAATGTGGCTTGAAAAATTGAGGCCTAGTCATCTTTAAATAGTATTACTCTCTTGCATTTCAACATGTAAATTCTATCACTGGTAAGGATTAAGTGAGGGCAATGAGCATCTAACAGGTCAACTTTCTGCTTTGCTGTTTCCAGTCTATTAGGTACTAGCCCACACTGCTTTCAGCGTTCCTATCTTTAAAATAGGAATTAAATGTAAAGCCTTACCCCAGATGTTGACTGATTTTCTGTGCAAGTTTTTTCAGTATTTCTTGGCATTCCTTCAGTACATCAGTTTCCTACAGTGGAAAACACAGTATCAGTGCTTTCATCGAACTTCATTTGTCTTGGTGAATGTACCCTTTTTATTCTGCATTCTAGATGTTGCATACCTCACACGTAGTGTAAGTCAAGAAAGGATGTGTTTTGGTCCCTCTCTTCCTTAGTGCTATGAAATTGTGTCTTTTGACTTGGTTTTGTATGGCTTTTTATATTCTATCAAACATGTTAGTAGATTTTATTGCATGGAGTCATTCTAATAAAGTCAAATTTTCCTTGGTTTGAGTATAATGAAGATACTTGAAACATGAACCTTAATCCATTAAACTACCCCCTCTAACTGCTTCTGCATTTTCCTAGAACAATACAAATCTTTTGCTGATAGTGGAGTAGGTTGAAAATCTGATTTTAGGCTCCCTGAGGAAGTATATTGTAATATCCTTCAAAACTGTAAGTATTAGTTGAAGAAACTCCAAGCCTGGTTCCACTCAGCTTAAAATGAATATAAAGTACTCAATATGAAAATTGCAAACATGGTAATTATGGTCCCTCAAATGACATTATGGTGTTCCAGCCTCTTTCCTTTTAAAAAAACTCTGCTTTAACCCAACATACCCTTTCACTAAGCGTGTACAGTTTTGTGAGTTTTGAAATGGGGAATAAAGTGGTTTTTTTTTTATTTGGAAGTCATTAAGACAGCCCAGATTTAAAACTGCAGGCTCTATCTCTGTACTTGCACAGTATGTGTAGGAGTGACATTAACTTTAGGAACTGGCTTTCCTGTTATTACAAAATGAGCCTCTGTTGGCCTTTCTTGTCACTATCTAGCTCACTCCACTGGTCACAGGTGCACGTGGGGAGATCCAGCAAGCAGCCTTTATTTTTCATTTTGAAACAAAAGGGTTTTCATCTGTTCATGAGAAACATTTAGAAGTATTTTATCCTACCTTGAATTCCCAGACTAAATTAAGTGCTGAAATACTTGAGCTAATGTATATTAACCCTTGACTCTTCATTAAAACTAAAAGTTCAAGTTGCAGGGTGTAGGCTCAGCAGATGCATCTCAGTTATCTGAGTGGTCCGCACATTCTTCTGTATCCAGAAGTGCTTGAAGAAATGCCACTGTCCCATAATGTTCTTTTCTATTATTTTTGTTCTCACACACATCCAGTATAACTTCTTTGAAATATGCTAGCAAAATGTTATGTGATTTATTTTTTCTTATTTAAAAGCAATCACTACTATCCATCTCATTTTCTTTGTTCAGTAACACTATATATATATATGTATATAAAGGCAGTAAAACAGCATTTGATACTGTAAGACCAAAGAACTGCTATTTTATAGACCATGGCCCAGAAAACAATCTTGAGTAATGTTTTTACCTTGTTTTTTATAGGATCAGGGAAGACAGAACTGGACAAGACCTCATAGAATGCTCGGCTGTTCCTTTTGCTCCCAGAAGGATGAACAAAACATTGACCATCCCCAGTAGGTACAGTTTTACCCAGTTTCTTCCTCTTCCCCCTGCCCAGTCTTCAAAATGAATGAAAGGAAGAAATTATCACAATGCTTTTACCCTGATAAATATTTGGTTGGATTTTAGTTACTTCCACAGTTGGAAAAATAAACTAGTAAGTCTGATCTTACCTTTATGAGGTTCTTTTCCACATTGTCATGAACTAAGTCTATGCCCTTTCTCTTCTCACGGTGGTACAAGCATTCTAGGGCTATCTGCAAGCAAAGAACATTTGCAGTAGGCTCAATATTGCATTATGGAGTGAAACCTTGAGCCTTGCTTGCAGGGGCCACTGAGCTGACATGTCAAGTAAAGTCTTAAGGGTGGAACAGAATAGGAGGTGGCTCAAATGATCCATCTTAGTGGCTCTTTCCTACTTTAGCTGTCAATGCATGCTTTTAAGGATTAGCTGCCATCATAGCTGCCATTTGATAAGCTGCCTGTTAATGTGCAGCAAGGCCTACACCTCAACATGACTGAGCTTTGTTGCGAGTGCTGTCAAAACCACCACTTCTGGTTCTGGGCAAAAATCCTTTCATCTCATCTCCCCTAATCCTGCCTTACCCAATGCCAAGCTTCGAAAGTTGCATACCTGTACAAGAGAATGACTGCATAACCAGGCAATAAGAGAATTCCATTAACCTGCCGCAGGTCCCATGCACTTGTTTAGAACCATACTAATAAATGAAACAGCATTAGCTGGCACAAATCATTTCAGCAGAAAATGTTCCCTGCATAGAAAGCATCCTCAGCCCAACACTCTGAGTCAGTACATATACAGACAACTAAACAAGTCATTGTTGAATACCGAATTTTGCTTTTCTATTTGTACTTGCATAGAAACACAATAGACATGTCTCCGTCAGCAGTATTCCAGATGTTTATGAGAAAACTTTAACTCTGGTTATTGGTAGCATCATTCACTAACTCTTACATTACTGTGTTTTTTTCTGTTGCAATTAATTTGCCTTTAAGATTCTGGAGAACTGCAGAATGTAACACAAATTATATGCTCTCGAGTGAAAATACTATTTTCACCAAGTAACAGCAGAAAAATTCAGAGCTAGTTAAGAACACTGGGATATTGCAGCTTACAGGGCCATTTCCTACTCTACTGTAATGTACTGAGCTGACTGGCCAGGGTCTGAAGGAGACTTACCCTCTGGGAGCCTCAAGCAGAAAGGAAGGCAAAGAGAGCATAGAAATGCCCTGATAAGGTTCCTGTGTTGACTTTCATATATAAAGCCCATAGTAGCCAAGTTTCTTTCTTGCTGAGCATGTTTCACCCAAATCTGTCGTGATGCTAACAGTAAAAGTCACACTAGTATTCAACAGAGATAAATCAGTTTTCATTCTGCAGTCAGGCAATAACTAGGAATGTCAAACCTACCTTCAGTGGTCCTTGCAGTTCATCCACAGCACATTCCAGACGCTTCTTTGTTGTTTCCAAGGCTTGGTTCTCTTTCAGCAGACACTCTAGCTCATACATGAGCTCAGATCGCCAGTAATCAGTGTTGGAGATCCTCTCTACCAGATTTCTTTGGCTGTCTTCTTGCATCTGGCAAGTCAGTTGATCCTTGTCTTGCATCAGTCTTACTGAATCCCCGTTCATTCTACCAGCAGAATACCTGGAGGCTTCAGAGTCTTTTAGCTGGACCATGTTAGTGTGGTGCCAGTCACGAGTGCTGTAGCGGGCATGCAGGCTGGAGCACAACCCAGGCAGGACGGTGGGTGGCCGCCTACTGGGGTTAAATTGCCCATTGTCACCCTTGGGGGGGACAGAAACCACCTTGCAGCACAGACCAGGCTGTCAGGTGTTCAGGTGGCGGTAGCCTGGAAGGTAGTAGTCCTGGTAGGTGTCCTTGGTGGTGGTGGTGGTAGCTATATCTGGGAGCAGGCAGCTTTTCTTGGGGCCACAGTAACTGGCTAGCTGTTTGGTCCCCAGGAACTCCATGCTGCTCTGGGCTCAGTCAGCCACTGCAGGCTGTCCAGCACTCCGGGTTGCGCTGGGCACCCCTGGGGCTTCCAGAACTGCACGGGCCTTGTGACACAACACAGGTGCCACCGGGCCCCCAGGGCTGTTCCATGGGTTCTGGCGCTCCACCAGGGCTCCACTTGTTCCTCCTGTCCCAGGGCACCTTGTTTTCCCCCAGAGCAGCAGTGCTTTCCCCCCAGTGCAGTGCTGTGCGTGGTGGGACCCAGAGTCAGGCATGATGTGAGTAAGACTGGTTACAGTGCAGAGAGATTTGCAGGAGGCTCACTGCAAGTGGGTCGGTGGGTTTGCCTTCAGTGAGCTCACCCTGAGCAAAATGAAATCAAAGGTGTGCTGCGGAGTGGCTCCTGTCTATCGGTTGGTGGCTGCAGGGAAGGCAGCAGTGGAGACAAAACACAGCCTCTGCAAGTCATCTCTTGGGATTGTCCAGTGATCTCAGCAGAAGATTTGGTTCAGATTGTCCAAAAAAAAAAAAAGTGTACTTCTCTTGGGCTTTGTTTATCCCCTCCAGTAGATTCACCTTTCATAAAAAGTGTAACAGATGGACAAGACCTTCCTCTGATGATGACATTTTTTCAGTTTAAAATGTTGAGTAACTTCTCAGATCACTTTTCTCATTTTTCCTTTCAGCTTCCTGGCCTTTCTGGCAAAAAAACCCACAACACCTCTTTCTGAAATCCAGTGCTCTAAAATTGCATTGTGACTGTCTTCTGTACCAAGAAATTTGAACGTAAGTATTTATTTGTAATTAAGCACCATACTAAGAGTCCCTAAATCAGCACAGATTTCTTCTAAGTTTAACACAAAGCAATTGCAATTGTTTCTTCTTCTCCAGATACATAGCTGTGAAGCAGCTTGTGCACCTTCCTTTCAACCTGGGTAAATAAAATATATATGCACATGGAATCACAGATTTCTGCCTCTCCACCAAAGAGCAGACAGTGGCTTTGTGAGCAGGGAGTGTGCTGGTTCACTGACAATCCCACACCCATCCCCACAACCTGCCCTTCTCTCCAGCTTGAGCTCCCATCCACGGGTTTTAAACTGGAATTCACCAGGCTCCTGGCTGTCATACACACCCGTAGGAGGAAAACAGACAGCTTTTCTCAAGGAGTGCGTTGTGTGCATTGTTCTAACACAGAGTGATGACACTACTGAGCACCATGTGCTGAACACTGGAGCTTTACTCCTGTAAGAGCCATTCAGACGGCTGCTGCTGCTGCACCTGCGGCAGCTAGGAATCTGCACTGGTTCAATCCTAACAGTGTTGCGAGAACTTCACACAGAGTGGGGAACTGAAGGGCAGGTAAAAATATTGTCAAAGATCATGGAAACACATTCTCCTCCTCATAAGGCTAAATATGGTTCTGTGATACAGTGCTCATTTCTCCATAGGTTGGAAGCATTCTGAGGCAGACACTGCCTTTTGCTTGGTGTCGGTGAGGTGTCCATCTTCAGCGGGGGTTCTCAAGCTGGTCTCTCCAGGTGATCCAGTTCTGCAGCTGCAGGTTTCCACACACAGGTTTTAGTGAGGAGAACAGTCAGATTGTGCTGGGTGATGAACAGTGTGAGGAATAACTGCAGGTTCAGGATCTGGAGTTTGATTTTTAGGCTACAATGTTAGGAATGGAGAAGAGGGCCATGGGAGAGGCAGAAGGGGGGCCAGTGACAAGGTCCAGGTCACAGCACAAGCTGCTGCACACTTCCTCGGTTTTGGAAAATTAATTTATTAGCAATTTATTTCATTTTTATGTACCAAATACAGTGACTGATTGCGCGCAGGGTGAATGGCCAAGCTAAGAGAGGTATCTTCCAAATAGACGTGCCCCTGTGGTGAACAGGAACTGCCTGCCCGCAGGGTGTACAGACAGGGCCGTTCAGAATCTCGGCTGCAAGGCTCCGGGAGCACAGAACCTCGGAGTGTCGGGCTGTAACCGTGCCCCAGCCTGGCCCCGACCCCTGGAGGTGGTGTCTCGGGTGCCGGGGCGGCGGCCGGGCCGTGCCGCTGCCGTTACGCTTCTGCCCGGTGCGGTGCCACGGGCGAGGCGGCAACGTCGCTTCACAGACCTGCTGCTACCGCTCGCGACCCACCGGACTCCCGTAGTGCCCGGCGGCCGTGCGGGCCTGAGGCGGTGCTCGCAGCCGCGCCCCAGGACCGTAGTAGGGGCGGGTACAGCGAAAGGCCGTTGGGGAAGCGACTCCCCCGGCGCCGGCACTGCCGGTAACCGCTGCGGCTGGGCGGTGGCCCCGAGTCCAGCCTCGCACAGGCTACACGAAAGAAGTTCTTTACTGTGAGGGTGGTGAGGCACTGGCACAGGCTGCCCAAAGAAGTTGTGAATGCTCCATCCCTGGCAGTGTTCAAGGCCAGGTTGGACAGAGCCTTGGGAGACGTGGTCTAGTGTGAGGTGTGGCAGGGGGTTGGAACGGGATGACCTTAAGGCCCTTTCCAACCCTAACTATTCTATGATTCTTCTGATTCCCACCACTGTAAATGGAAGGAATAAGGTAAATCAGAAAGTTCCATTCAGCTGAGAGCAAGGAATTGTGACAACAGAGGTGGTTCTGGAATGAGCCTGCAGGCAAATGGTGCATATCCAAGCCTTGGCCATTGTTAAGAAATAGTGCTGAACTTCTTTCAAAAGGAGAAATGAATGAATGGCATTTACAGTGCTGCTCTCACTTTCCAGGCAGAGAAAAAGCCAACCTTGTCAGGCAGTGAAACGAAGAAAGATCAAAAAAGCTCTTTCTCATTTGGGGTTGTTATCAAGACAGAGGTTGCTGTCAAGAAACCCTAAGGACTTTTGGTATTGATTTTGCATGGAAGGTTTGGGAAGTTTGGTGAAAGATAGTGGCAAGTAAAATACATTTAATGATACATGGGATCAGAGCTCAAAAGTCTCACTGGAGTCCTGTATGTCTTCTTTTCCTTCCCGACTCAGACAGCATCCCTGCCTGGGCATGTAAAGCAGACGGCTAATGTCTTCCAAGCAAACGCCAAAATATCTTCTGTCAACCCAGTGGATGTAATGACTGGTATTTCAGACATCAGTTCGTGCACTGTGTGGGTGCACATTGTGTTCATCCTTAAGTGTAGAAAAGACCAATTGAATATGTGCAGTATTAAGTAAGACTTCCAGATTCTGTCCTCAACAACTTCCCAACATGGGCAGCTAGATGTTTCCCACTGAACTCACTGGCTTACGATGCTGCTATTTGCAACACACAAACACATCTTTCACTTGGCCTTTTCCTATGCTAGCTTTGATTTCTGCTTTAGTATCATGGAGAGCATGACCCTATAACTCACTTTCTCAACTCAGTCAATACATGAAGAGAAATATCACTCAGAGGCCATAACATGCTCTTCCATCTTCTCTTGTCCTGCCCTATCTCATCAGCTGGACTTGCAAATCGGGTCACAGACATAAATGTTACGTGGGGGTCAGAACGAAGGAATTACAGTACCAGGTCAGAACAGTTGTTTGCTTCATCTAGGATTATATCTGGCAGAGTTGGCACCATGGGCCTCAGGAAAAGGAGTGTACTGGAGAGCAAGATGAATGGTGATTTTGTGCCTTCCTATCACTGTGTTAAGGACATACTGAAAAGGACAAGAATTCACACATGGACTAGCCTGTGACAATCTGCCCTGTAGCGTAACTTTGTGGGAGCAAAGCAAAAAAGAAAGTGTGTGATCTTTCCTCTCTGGAAAGAAAGAGAGAGTAAATGTGCTTGCATTTTTGTCTTTCCATCTCTTTCTTCCCTCTGTCTCTCCCAAGCTCTTTTGGATTTGTTCACTAGTTTTGCACGCAATTTGGTAAAGAGATAGAGAGATCGGTGACAATGAAATTCCTGCAAATCCATGAAATTTAGGGAGAGGAGAAAGACTTCATAGGCACTATCAAGCAGACTGCAGTCTGGGCAAAACCCTTTGCAGGCACCACCAAGCCCACATCAAGGTAAAGGTGTCCTTTGGAAGGCGCTACTGGATGTCTCTAGTCCTGTCTCTACTGAAAGCATCAAACTATATTAGACTCAGCTTTGCTTGGGCTGAGTCTCAACTACTCCTAAGGCTGGAGATTTGACAGCTGCCTCAGATGAGCACTCTTCTGCAATTGAAGAATCTTTTCTTGACATCCAAGCTGAACCTCCATCCTAGGACCATTTGCCCATGATTGAGAAGCATTTGTCTTTACAACTTTACCATCATTTTCACAGCTCCCATTGGGGTAGTGTTAGCTCAGAATTTGAGGCCCTCAGACTCCTCTTCACAAAACAAGCTGATGTTGAGCCAGTCAACAAAAAAAGAAGCTGTAGGCAACCAGTATCCTTAGAATGACTTTTCTTTTTTATCAATGGGAAGACAGAGGGATGAGAATTAGATATTTCTGCACTTCCTAGAGAAATGTATAAATACAGCACTGCAATGCACTTATCTCTGCTTTCTTCTTAAAGAGTAACAACTATTGTTACAAGAACAACTACAACTGCTGTCCTTCCAAACAAATGATGAAGTATCTTACCTTATGCTAGCATTAAAGAACATAAATCAGTCATCTCTCTGCCAACATTGTTTCACGAGAAGCTCAGATACTCTCCTCTCTAGTGCAGCTTCAAACGAGTACCTCATTTGCAAATTTCATGTATTACCTTGTTGATTTATCATAGTGCTCCCTTAATGTTTGCGAGTTGAGTTTGCTTTCCAGAACTGGGTTTTAAATAACTTCAGAATTGAAAATTACTTATTGTTTTGCTATTTCTGCATTACTCTATTTCCATTTTATTATTTCATAAAGATTTCTAACAGCAGTTGGTGCACAGAAAAAGGCATCAAGAAAACTGGATAATGGAAAAGAAAACTAAAAACTTGCAATATTTCCCATTAATGTCAATTTACTTTGTTTGGGCAAGCAATGGGCAAGGATTTAGTAACTATCTCATTGCAAGCTAAGAACTGAAAACAGTAATTTTTAACGTATGGCTTGACTCTGGAGAGAAGTTGTCAAAGCAGCTGCAGGTAGGGTAACCCTCAGAGAAGGCTCCTGTACCCAAGAAACAGAGACTCCTTCTTTGAGAATATGGTTAAAAGACCTTGGGTGTTATTTAATAGAATCTATGAAAGTTTGAGCATGTGGGTTCCAAAGCTAACTCCAACTCTGCCTTTTCGTATGCTTCTGTAAAATAGCCACGGCCTGAGGTGTAGTAGCCAGAGATATTTGTGATAGATTGTCTTGTGGACGTGTTCTGAGAAGAGAATGTCGTTAAATTGCCTACCCTTTTTAAGCTGCAGTTATAGGGTTCTTCTGTGAAATGAACAAATTAGTTTTATTTCAGGACATTAGCAATTCTGCAAAGATTGGTCTTTTGACAAAGCCTGTTTTTCTTAAAAACATTTTATGCTGTTCATTTTTAATGTGATGCTCCTCTGTTTCTAGATGGTCTCCGGGTCTCAAATCCACTAAGAGGCAAACTTAAAGCCTTTTTTTAAGTTGTGGAAGGAACCAGTCATCAAAGCCACTTTTGTGCACCTTTTTTCCCCTTTTTTTAAGTGAAGGTCTTATTCCCATTTAAAAGGAGAAGTAGTGGTCAGCCAGGTGTGACCTCTACTGCAGAAGTCCCCCCATCCCATCCCAAGCCAGGACACCTCCAGAGTTAGAAATCATGATTTATTTCAAATAAACCATGAGCACACAGCTGGCAAAATGTCTCCTGGGTGGTTTTCCTGCCCCTTTCCAGTGCCTGTGAAGGAAAGTGAGGAGCAGCAGCACCCCGCTGGGGTCACCCCCAGCCCAGAGCAAGGGAAGGCATTCCCAGAACAAGTGCCACATTTAAAAACGAAGCTCTATTTTTTCCCCAGCTCCCGATTTAAAAGTCTTAAAACTTGAGAGTGCAAGACTATAGTACAGAAACCTCCTGTGGCCCCAGCCCCGCATGGGCAGGAGCGGCAGTCATGCAATTTGTGGCATCCATAGGAAACATTTTGGTACAGTCTGGGAAGCCTGAGGACTCTTAGAGATGAGGCAGCCAATGCACTAACATGAGTGAAGCCGAAATAAAAAGAGGATGGGATGCGAGGATGGCGGTGTCAGGCTGGTGTGGGGAATAAAAATGGGGGGGGAAACTAAAAGAGAGCGAATACTGCACATCTGCAGCAGTAATGCACCAAAGAGAAGCTTGTACCATGTCCCTGTTACTGGTTGGGTTGCGTACTTGTTCTTTGGTGCATTACTGCTGCAGATGTGCAGTATTCGCTCTCTTTTAGTTTCCCCCCCCATTTTTATTCCCCACACCAGCCGGACACCGCCATCCTCGCATCCCATCCTCTTTTTATTTCGGCTTCACTCATGTTAGTGCATTGGCTGCCTCATCTCTAAGAGTCCTCAGGCTTCCCAGACTGTACCAAAATGTTTCCTATGGATGCCACAAATTGCATGACTGCTGCT